TAGTTGGAAAGCAGCTATCCATGAGACTTCCATCGCGGGAGCTGTCTTTAAGATGCGATCTTTTCTTCTATAGGCATCTTCGGATACTGCATACAGATCTGACTTCAAATATGCCTAGCGCTTTAGGGAAAAAGTCAGAGGTATTCTTCTCGCCTGCGCTACATGATTCCAGCGTTACGTGTGAACCCATGACAACGCCAGATCTGAAATCAGCAGCAGGAGACGCATATAGTGGTGTATGTCCCATCATGAACGTCCATGGCAAGTTGCAATCCCTCCCCCTGTGATGTCGGTATCGCGGTGCAATTGCGGAAATTTCAATTTTGCACAAGGAGTTTTTTAAAGGCAAGTGGCACGATAAATGGCACGGCGTATACGGGAAAGACGCCTAGCACGAATGAATACTGTGGCTCCGGGCAAGCGTTGTAGGGCGTCTCTTCCAACCAAAGGCACTATAGTGGCGCCTAACCAAGGTGCAACGGGCCGACCCGAACGCCCATTGCGACCGCCAACCCACAAATGGCCGAATAGTCACATCGACATTGGCACCCTTATCGCTTCATTTATAAAGTTTAATTGATGCGAAGTGTTGCTACATGGATATATGGATGTATACGTGCAGCCGTATTTATCAGAGCGGTTTTTGGCACGGTATCCACGGCAAACTCGTCCAAATGCTCGTCCATTGCTGTTCAAAGGCTTTTTTCACTTTTTCGGTTTTTCAGCTTTTTCTTTAACTTCGCTTGTTGGTCATTTTCCCCACTATATAGCACCCGTGCTACTACTTTTGAGCAAGCACCAAATAATCGTATCTTATGCCTTTGAAGCAAGGAGATGTCACGGGCCTTGTTTGTGCGTCACGTCTTGAATATTCCCATTTTGGACAGAATTTTGGGCTAAAAGATGCGAAGAAGCGGTTGTGACTTACGGAGAGGAGGATGTCCGTCTGAATTTGCTGAGATGGGAAAACTGGAGGGAGAGCTGCTCGCGCCAAACTGGGATATTGCCGAAAAGGAAGTGAGGATTTCTATGACCGTGGGGCAAGTAGCTCCGAGAGATGAACCGATTTGCATATGAAAAGGGGTTACATCAATGCCAGTTCAGCAC